GATTTAGATTCTTGTCTTCTAGGAAATGTATCTGGGGGAACAGTAAGCTTTTATGGTGGATTGGGTGACAGTTTACACAGTAGAGCATCAGTTTTATGTTCAATGTTCTATACTCATTCTGTGTCATCTCAGGCTATATCTGAACTTCTAAAAATTAGAAGAGGCCCTCTTATTTGTTTATTTAATTCCTCTGCTGGTTATCTGCTTTACTTGGGTTTTTTTTTCATTTTTATTTATCAAAGATTCTTCTCAATCATATGATCCAAATCTCTTATTGGAGTTTTTCTATTTTTTGTTTCTACAACTAAACTTCATTTACAAATGTTTTTCTTTTTCTCTTATATTTTTTTCTGAAATTTACCCAGGCTTTTTTCATTTATATATCTTTTTTTAATTTTTAATTTAAAAATCAGGGGAGAGCGCGAATGCAGTTCCCCACTATCACAAATTATGCAGTTGAGTTTTCCACATTTGGAGAAATTGCAGGGGTCAGCACATCCGGAGTACAATGGATAAGCCTCACCCTGGGGAAACCACCTTCGTGATCATGGTATCTCCCCTGCCAGGTAAGTATTCATTTATATATCTTCTTTTATCTTTATAAAGATATTACATCTTTAACCTTTTTTCTTCTCCCTTCCTTGACCTTTTGTATCTGAGTTACCCTTTTCCCCCTCTTTCTTTGGTTATTTTGTTGTTGCTGTTGTTGTTGCTATAATTTTTCTCAAATACTTTTGGTTGCCCAGTCATAGAATTAAGATAAAGAATTATTTGAAACCCAATGGGCACAGAGAGGGCTTATCTCATGGTTGTGTCCACTGCATGATAACTGGGCAGGGAAAGACATGTTTCATTAGAAGACTCCAAAATGTCAATATCAGCTAAAGCCGTGTGCTCAGAGCTCTAAGCTCCTTCTTCCCTGATGGTCAAAATTCTGAGTGTTAAGTGGAAAAGAGAGATAAACTAGAAATAAAGGAACTTGTTCTTCAAGGTGACTGCTTTAATTCAATACTCTTGTTATAAGTTTGACACCTCACCTCTGACTGTTGTTACACCAGACTGAATCCAGCGGTGGCCTCTAATATATAGATTCTTTAAATGTTAGAGCCAAATAGTTAAGCAAGATTTAAACAAATGAAGCAGAGTCACTAAAGCAATACGATCATCCCTTTCCCATCTCCAACTACCACCACCAGTAACCTGGCAATACAGTCAAATGAGGACTGGACAGCACTATCACTTTTAAGACCGCTTCAGAAAATAACGACCTCATGATATCGTTCATGCTACTCTCTCTTCACCTCCACCCCTAATTGATGTGGTCACGGTAATTAACTATACATTAAAACCAGGGAAGGAATAAACATAGGACTTTGGGAACCAGGTGCTCACAAATTTACATGACACATTTTAAATCCCAGTTGTTAGAGCTTCCAGTAAGTAAGTGATTTTTGTCAACTAACCAAATACTTACTGGGACCTAGAGTAGCGATTGTGCTACACATTGTGGTTCGATGAAAGCTAGTTAAACTGTGGAAACTTCCACGATTAAGAAGGATGTTAGATAGAAGAGTCATACAGAAATCGAAGTGAACGTGCAGCATGACGACGATTGTGTATGTTCTAGAGAAGAAGATACCGATGTCAGGAGAAAAAAGAACTTTGTGATGATTAGAACCTTTCAGAAATGGGATGGACCACAGTATGAAAAGGAGCATGACTGGCACTCTGACGAAATGCTCAACTGCCAGCCAGAAAGTTCACACCCAGCCTCTGTCGCACGGGGTCGCTATGAGTCAGAATGGACTCCTCAGTGCCCAACAACAGCAACATGTCATGAAATAGTAATAACCTCTCACTGCATACAGTCCAGAGTTAATAGAAATATGTATGGATACTGTGAAGTGGCATTATATGCTTAGTTGAAGAATGAACTAGACAACCTCTAAATTCCTTTCAAAGACAGGAATCTATTATTCTACCTCGATTATAAATGATAACCCAAAGTCTGGATGAATATTTCCCAAAGTTTTCCTGGGGGATACTGGAATGATCTAAGATTTCTAAACTTTACCCTAGATTATGGGCTGTAGTAAAAAAATTTTTTAATTGCTGGGGGGAAGGGTGATGGGGTGATGCTGAATAATATTTTTCCTGAAAAGGGGGCAATGGGCCAAATAATATGGGAAGCTATATTCTAGATAATCAGTAATAATCATTGTATTTGTTTTATCTAATTTTTAATGCAGAAGGATTAAAAATATAACCAATCACTACCTATCCAAATACAATCATTAGTAACAGTTTGATATATTTCTTTCTTTTTATATTTATAGCTAAATTTATCAGAAAAATGATACTATTCGCATTTATTTGATATATACTCATATTGTCTACACTAAAAATATTCTTAATACAAAGTATCTGAAGGGATCAAATATGTTTCAACTTGTGATCAGTGTATTAACATTACTAATTTCTCAAAGCCTTGGCTATGCTTTCTCAACATTCATGGCGCACTTTGGATGGTCTTTTCAATGTGTCAATTAGCATTAAATTTTACTGCAAACCAATACCAGCAGGTATATTGTAAATACCTTCAAATTAGATGTCATCCATTTCCTAAAAGGCTCATGGCAATATTTGCCATCTAAATTGGAATAGTCATGGGAAGGGATTACACATTAATTCCGTAAGCTATAAAATGCTGTGGAGTAACTGTTTTCACAAAGACAGAGGGAGCAACATATCTACTTTCATCGCAAAGCTGCAATCAAACTTGAATTTCCTTCTCACTGAAGGTTAGTTTCTTGTCTTTCCCTAATATGTGCTTTTGAGGGGGAGAGGTGTTGAGAATACTCAGTAAAATATTTTACTGATTATGTTGTATGGTAAAAATGCTGTTCTTACTGCCCCTCCACGTTCGCAAATAAAAATAGGAAGAGGTTAGAAATTAATTAATTCACTCAAATGTAACTTATAGGCATTGACTATGTGTTAACTATGAATCTCAAGTCTTCCTAGGGACTTATTACTTAGTCAAAATAAGACAAATAGAAAACTAAACTCACATATAACAAAAGATGTGTTAAACTCAATAACAGGGATCTAGAGTAGGCACTGTGTGGTCCTCAGGATGGATGGGCTCTAGTAGGCTTGAGACGGTCAGGAAAAGTTTATGACGGAGATAAGCAGTAGAAAAAGGAAGACCATTCCAAAGTAGAGGCAGCATTTGCCACAAATGGCTTTACCAGCAAAGAAGGGCACAGGCCTCTTTGACCAAAAGTGATTCAAACATAGATAAAGCACAATTTGCGTGAACTTTGACTTTAACAGTTACAGTGTGATATCTTTACATTGTCTTCCCTGTCTTCTCCTTCAAAGAGCCCTGGTGGAGTAGTGAGTTGCTCACTGGATTGCTAACTGTAAGACTGGCAGTTTGAAACCACCAGAAACCCACAGGAGCAGTTCTACCCTGGCCTCCAGGATAACTATGTGTGAACCTGGTTGGATTTCTGGAGCCCTCTCCTTCAGATGAACTCTTTGAGGTCAAGGACTGTACAGTAGTATCACCTTGTGGCCTCAGTAGCAGGCGTAGTACCCAGTTCATAGCTGAGACTCGATAATGTATGAATGAATGAATGAATGAATGAATAAGTAACTAAGTGAGTGAATGAATGAATGAGCAAGCTAAGTCGCAATCAATCTTAGGTGATCTCCCCAAGTTACATTTATTTTTTCCTAATAATCTTTAAGGAAAAAACTCATGTATATTAATATGTTGGTTTACTTAACTTTTACATGTCTTTCTGGAATGTATTTAACAATCACTGTGTCTACTTTCTCTTATCTTGCTTTCTCCTCCGTTCACTGTAAATGATTTCTACCTCACTATTTTGACTGAAAATGATCTGAAAAAGATTATTGACAGATCTAATATTCAATTCATTTCAGGCATTATGTTAGGAAACTCACCAAACTGCTTGCTCATGCTCTTTCTGCTGTCTGGAATGTCACAGACCCACTCACGTGCACACACACACACACACACACACACACACACACACACCACTTTCTTGGGTTAATTCATACCTACTCTTTTTCATTTTAGTTCTTTTGCCGCTCTTCCCTCTCACAATCACAGAATCAATTCCAGCTCAGAGAAACCCTGCAGGACACAGTAGAACTTCCTCTTGGAAATTCCAAGAATGTAAAGCTTTACGGGGGAAGAATGCCCCATTTTTGTTTTGTTTTCTCCTGTGAAGCAAGTGGTAGCTTTGAAGTGCTGATCTCAGCTAGCAGCCCAACACATAACCCCTTACATCCCCAGGGCGCCTGCTCCCTCCCCATCAAAGCTAAACTCCCTGTCATTGAGCCTAAAGCCTGTCATTGAATTTTGACGCATGCCACACTAAGAACAGAGTAGAATTTTCCCTGGGTTTCTCAGGCTGCCAATCTTTATGGGAGCAAAAATCCTCATCTTTCTTTCAAGGATCCATGAGTGAGTTCAAATGACTGGCATGGAGTTAGTCAGCAGTCATAACCCACTCAAACCCAAACCAAGCTCACTGCCATGAGTCAACACAGACACATAGACAGTCAGATAGCCCTTCTCAGTTCTGCGGGTGCAACGTACGGAAAGCCTGGTCATATTATTGCTCTTGTCACACAGCATGGTAATTACTCGTCATCTCTCTTCCTGACTGTACAGAGAACTTTCCAAGAGAATAACTTTATTTTTATTATAGTAATGATAGTCCCTAGCAAGTGGGTGCCTCTTTCTTAACTATAGAAAACTTTCTGAGGGAAGAAATTGGTTTTTGTATACTTTTGGTATGCAAGAGTGTCCCTTATGCTTATCACAGTCCCCGATGGGAAATAGCATATTGGCGTTCTCAGTGTCAATAAAAATAATCAAACGTGGAGACAGAGTAGTTTTTGTTTGACTTGGATGGAAGGTGATGAGAGAGCTCTTGGTTTCTGCTAAGCAGCTGCCCACCATGGCCAAGAAGAGAATCGCTGTGATTGGAGCTGGAATTAGCGGACTGGGAGCCATTAAGTGCTGCTTGGAGGAAGGCTTGCAACCCACGTGCTTTGAAAGAAATGACGATATTGGAGGTCTCTGGAAGTTCCACGTAAGTTTGCCTTTTGTCTGACTTTAAGCATGTAACTTTTAAAATAGCCGTAACAGCTCGGCTGGCGTTATTCTCAAACATAATATACAGTGCTCTGTAACTCAAGAGTGACTGGTTCTTACGTGTCGTTGAGTGAGTTCCAACTCATTGTAAATGAGTGAAACTGCTGCTTAGGGGTTTCTGAGCCACAACCTTTTGGAAGGACAGTTTCCAAGTGGCCCCACCTTCTTTTGGTATTTCCCTCTCTGACATGGACAGCTGGCACTATGATCAATATTTTCTAGTTCTGATCATCTCAGAGAGCCACCTTGCTCTGATGAGGGAACGATTTTACTCAGTAGTCATGACTGGCAGCTCCATGGATGTGCACAGGTATGCTGGGAATTGTTTGTGTTTATTTGTTTGTTTCTTGCTCCTGGCTCTTAACACCCATCCACCCAGGCTATGGGCCCGGTGGCTGAAATATGAGACCTGCCAATCCCTGTGAAGAATGGGCTTGCTGGTAGAACAACGGACATCACTGTCCCATGGGAACTGTTTTCTGGTGCTCCCAAAACACATCAGTGACTGGGGAGCTTCTCAGCAGCTGTCACAAAGACATGTCAATCTGGAGCTACGGTCATGCAAATATCTGCGTAGCCTACACAGTTGCTGTTGTTGATTTTTAATGTTTTCCTTGAACTGTCATTCAATTCTAAATAATATGTCACTCTACCTATTTTACTTAATTCAAGGGTTTTCTCATTTACTCAACAAAAATTTATGAGCAGTCACTCTGTGCCAGACACTATTCTAGATGGCGGGGATATATAAGTAAATATGACATACAAATCTCTAGGTTTTAATTAACTTATATTCTAGTAGGGTATAAAATAATGAATAGTACGATCAGTAGTGATACATTGAGAAAAAAACCCATTGCCATCAAGCCCGTTCGACACGTAGCACATAGGACCGAGTAGAACCGCCTTCTGGCTTCCTGAGGCGATGAATCTTTACAGGGGCAGAAAGCTGCATCGTTCCCGTGAAATGGTTGGTGACTTTGGGTTGCTGAACTTGTGGTTAGCAGCCCAGTGCACAATTCACTATTCCCCCAGGGCTCTTTTAGGGTGCGAATAGTAGAGGAAAATAAAAGAGGAGAGTTTAGAGAGTATAATTTAAAAGAGAGGCTGCAGAAAGCCACAGTCTTCAGTGCTTTGGGAAACCAGTAGACAGCTAAGAGAGCGATCTGTGACGCGACCTGGAGAGAGTCCTCAGAGGAAGCTTCAAGCGCAAAGCCAGAGGCGGGATCTTTCCAAGTATGGCAGGAGGAGGGCCAAAAGGTCAGTGTGGCTGAATTGTAGTGCCAACGGAAGAAGTCTAGAAGATTCTCAGAGCAGCAGTAATGACCAAGCAATTGTACAGAGGCATCAGGACCATGATAAAGACTGATCTGGGTGGACATTCAAAAACATTATTATTGTCGTTGGGTGCCGTGGAGCCCGCTCTGACTCAGCGACCCTGTGCAACAGAACAGAACACTGGCCTGTCCTGCGCCCTCCTCACAATTTTCTTACGCTTGACTCATGGCGGCAGCCACCGGGTCAATCATCTTGTTGAAGGCCTTTCTCTTTGTCGCTGCCCCTCGACTTTACCAATGGAAAACATGAGAAGCTTTTAAACAGAGGAACAATGTACTTCGACTGATACTTTAAAAGGATGCCTGTGGCTGCCCCGTTCAGAATAGATCAAAGTAGAGAAGGACTGAAGAGATCTGTCCAGTTTGAAAGCTATTCAACAATGACTGAAGTGTAAGATCATGGTAGAATGAGCCAAAAATAGATTAGATGTATTTTTTTTTTCAAATTTCTAAATGCATGATTTTCTCAGGGAAGCAAAGTGGAATGTGTTACAGTAGTCTTACTGTATATGTAGATTTTGTCTACTTCTTCTTGAATTTACACATGTAGGTACACATATAGATGCATGTATGCTTACGTATGTAAACATAAGGTTCGGCAGTCATGCTTGCTTGCTAGGACCACCACAAACTGGGTGACTTAAGACAACAGAACCCTTTCTCGTGGTTCTGGCAGCTCAGCATCAAGTTGTCGACAGGGCTTGGTCTTCTGAAGACTCGAGAAGAGAATCTTCCAGAGCAGCTGGTGGATGCCAGGAATCCTGAGCATAATTTGGCTTGCAGCTATGTTCCGCCAAGCTCCATTTCATTTGCACCTGGTCTTCTCCCCTGTCCCGTGACTAAGTTTCTTCTCCCTTCCTTAAAAAGACAGGAGTCAGATTGGATGGGGGCTCAAATTCATTTACTGTGGCCTCGTCTTAACATCTGCAAAGACCCTATTTACAGGTAAAGTCCTAGTCACGGGCGCAATGTTTAATACTACAACATATCCTTTGGGGGGAACAACTTCACTAGTTGCTAAGTTTTTTATCGTTTTGTGACTATTATATGTTCTTGGTGGATGAAGCCAAAAACCAAACCCACTGGTATCAAGTCAATTTTTATGCATAGTGATCATCAAAGGCAACGTAGAACTGCTCCATAGAGTTTTCAGGGCTGTAAATCTTTACAGAATCAGACTACCTCCTGTTTGCTCTGCAGAGCAGCCAGTGAGTTCAAACTGCCAACCTTTCAGTGAGAAGCCCAACACCTAATACACTGAGCCGCTATGGCTCCTTTTTGCTAAACTGTTTCATTTAATATGAAATATCTTTGTGGTCACTCTTAGTTTGAACTATATTGCATTAGTCTTACGATTACTGCACTGATTGTGTTGTCGTTGTTGTTAGAGTTCAATGAACATACTTTTTTTTTTTCTAAAATCATTTCATTGGGGGCTCTTGCAGCTCTTATCACAATCCATACATCCATCCATTGTGTGAAGCACAGTTGTACATTTGTTGCCATCATCATTCTCAAAACATTTGCTTTCTGCTTGAGCCCTTGGTATCAGCTCCTCATTTTCCCCTCCCTCCCTACTCCCCCCCTCACTAACCCTTGAAAATTTATGAATTACTATTATTTTGTTATGGCTTACACTGTCCGACTTCTCCCTTCACACACTTTTCTGTTTTCTGTCCCACAGGGAGGGGGTTATATATAGATCCTTGTGATCTGTTCACCCTTTCTACCCCACCTTCCCTCCACCCTCCTGGCATCACCACTCTCACCACTAGTCCTAAAGGCACCATCTGTCCTGGATTCCCTGTGTTTCTGGTTCCTATCTGTACCAGTGTACATCCTCTGGTCTAGCCAGATTTGTAAGGTAGAATTGGGATCATGATAGTCGGGGGCAGGAAGCATTAAAGAACTAGAGGAAAGTTGTATGTTTCCTTGTTGCTATGCTGCATCCTGACTGGCTGGTCTCTTCCTTGTGACCCTTCAGTAAGGGATGTCCAATTGTCTACAGATGGGCTTTGGGTCTCCACTCTGCCCTCCTGCTCATTCACAATATGATTTTTTGTTTTGGGTCTTTGATGCCAGATACCTGATCTCATTGACACCTCATGATTACACAGGCTGGTGTGCTTCTCCCATGTGGGCTTTGTTGCTTATCAGCTAGATGGCCACTTGTTTATCTTCAAGCCTTTAAAAACCCAGAAGCTATATCTATTGATAGCTGGGCACCATCAGCTTTCTTCACCACATTTGCTTATGCACCCATTTGTCTTCAGTGATCACGTTGGGAAGATGAGTATCACAGAATGCCAGATTATTATAACAAAGTGTTCTGGCATTGAGGGAGTACTTGAGTAGAAGCCCAATGTCTGTCTGCTACCTTAATACTTAACATATAAATATATGTACATAGATCTATTTCCCTGTTATACATAAATATATTTACACATGTACATACCTGTATTTAGACCTCTATAAATGTCCTTTGCCTCCTAGTTCTTTCCTCTACTTCCTTTTACTTTCTTTTTGTCTCACTACCATGTTTGGCCATCATTGTGATTTCAGTAATTCCTCTCGGCTACATTGCCCTTGATCAAGCCCCACCAAGCATCCTATGACCTCCTCACCATTGATTTTAGATCACTTGCTGCTCCCTTGTCTCTGGGTTTGTTAACATCCACTTCCTTTCCCCTACCTCCTCCTCTCCTGTGTCCCCAAGAACTGTAGGTCCTGTTGCTTTCTTCTCTGGATTGTTTATCCTGCCTATCTTATCTAGATAGACTGGCAGAGATAATAATAAGCACAAAAACAAGACAGAGCAAAAGAAAACAAAACAACAATAAAAATAACCAATGACAAAAAAAGAAAAGCCTATAAAATGTTTGTTGACCTTTAGGAGTGTTTTCTAGTTGAGACTGATTGGGTGCCATGCCTTGCCCCCAAAGTCTGTTTTTGGTATTCCCCAGGGACTTCATTGCTTTGCTCACCTTGCTGCTCTGTTGCATACCCTTAGTGTTTCCTCCCGGTGTGGTGGGGTCAGATTAGGCACAATTCCTCCACTGTGTCTCCAGTGTTGTGCCCCCTAGCGCTATGGTTCAGTGAGGGACGTTATGTCTTATGGTGGGGCCGGCCCTATGATCCTCTCTGTGCATTGGCTGCTCTGAGCAGGAATATTGTCCTGGTGGCTTGGTGGCCCAGGATGTGCTCCACTCTCTCCCTCTTCCTTCATTTGCTCCTGTGTGCTCTGATTAGACGTGCCCCTCTCCCTGAGCTGTAGTTTCAGTGCTGTCCACTGAAGTGCATTCTTCTGGGGGGGTGGGGGTGTCCATGGAGTTGGGATTGGGGCCGGCCCCACGAACCTCTCTATTGGTTCCCTGCTTCATGCCAGTGAGCATCCTTTTTGCCATCACTTTATTTACTAGTATGCTGGGTCATTTGTTTTAGGATTGTCTCCATACACTTTCAGGTTACTTTCTTTCCTAATGTAGGAGTTTCCATGCTTTTTACTTTTATTTTAAAAGCTGTGCTAATCTTAAATGTGCAGCTTAATAATTACTTGTGAACACACTCACTTAGCCAATAATCCATCAAATACACATTATTTCCAGAAAGTTAGAAGTTTGCTACTTGTTCCTTCTCAGTCAACCCAGTTGCCTCCATAAGTAACCACTATTTTTATTTCGACTATGCTTTATTAATGAGTTGGACTGCAATCCGAAAGATCAGCAGTTCAAAACCCCCAATCACTCCTCTGGGAAAAGATGAGGTTTTCAACTCCCCCAAATAGTTACAGTTTCATAAACTCAAAGGGGGCAGTTCTACCCTGTCTAATAGGGTCACTGTGAATCAGCATTGACTTAATGGCAGTTAGTTTGGTTATCAATTTTGCTGGTTCCTGAAATCATGTAGTTATGCTCTTTTGCGTATTGTTTCTTTCATTTGTCATTTGGTAAATGAAATTTATCCAAATTGTACATGTTTTTATTGTGATAGAGTGTTCTAATATATGTATCTAAAGCTATAAATTGTCCTCTGCACACTGCTTTGTTTCATCTACTGGTTTGATGCATTGTCTTTTCACTGTCGTTCAATTCATAATATTTTCTAATATCCTTATAGTACACTCTTTCAATGTGTTGCTTAATTTATAAACAAATAGGAGATTTATGGTTATCGTCCTCTTATTGATTATTAATTTAATTCCATTGTGGTAGGAGAGGATGTTCTGTTTTTATTTTTTGAAATCTGTTAGGCCTTATATTGGTAAATATTTCATCTGCACCTCAAAAAAATGCAAACTGCTATTGTCCGGTATATTTGTAACTATATGCCAATTAAGGTAAATTTTTTGGTTGTTCTCTTTAATCTTCTATACTTAAAGCATTTTTCTATTGTTCTATCATTTATTTAGTGCAATGAGTTAATTTCTCCAGCAATGATTATGAATTTTTATTTTTTCCTGTTAATTCTGTTGATATGATTCTGTCTTCCAGTAGAATTTGCTTTTATATCATTATGCTCTCATTATGTCTAATCTTGTCAGGGTGCCTCCCTTAATTACTACTAATATACTACTCCAGTTGCCTTTTGATTAGTGTTCACCTAATATGTGCTTTTTCCAGTCTAACTTCATCTTGTGTAAACATAAAGAACGGTTTTATCTGTCTATTATTATTTTTATTGGAGTGTTTACATATAATGAACTGTGTAGATAATGGGGCTTTCGTGTACTGAAAGGAGCCCTGCTGGCATAGTGCGTTACATATTGGGATGTTAACTGCAAGGTTAGCAATTTGAAACCATCAGCCACTCCAATAATGGCCCGGTGACCCTCACCTTTCGAGTTCTCAGGTCTCTTGCTTTGTGATGGTCGGACCAGGTGCAGCTGGTCCGGGAGAAAAATTAGGTTTTCTGTTCTAACAGCCTTAGAATCTCCCAGAAGCAGTTCTGTTCTGTCTTATAGAGTGTGATGAATGAGAATTTACTCCACGGCAACTAATTTGTTTTTTGCTGTTGTTTTAGTTTTTACCATATTCAGGCTTTCACTCGTTTCATCTTTGTTGTTTCTTTATTCTTCATTTCTTTCTTTTTGTTTTACTCGACTATTTTCATGCTTTTATTTTTGTCTACGGTCACTATTTAGCTATCTAGTCTTGTGTTGCTATTAGCGATTATCTTGAAATTTTCAATATGTATGCATCTCTAATGTTTATATTTCTATGACTTTCTAAACAAAACAAAGATCTTACCACCATTTAACTACTTACCCCTTCCTATTCTTTGTGTTACTATTATGTATTTTACTTCTTTTTCAATAACTTTAAAGAAGTCTTGTGCAGTAGATTTACCTAATGCAATGAGTTTTAGGGTATTGAAAAACAAGGATGTTACTTTCAGGAGCAAAGTGTGCCTGACCCACAACACGGTATTTTCAATTGCCTCATATGCATAGGGAAGTTGGACATTGAATAAGGAAGACAACGACGAATAGATGTGTTTTAATTGTGGTGCTAGTGAAAAATATTGAAAGTACAAAGGACTGCAAAAAGGACAAAAAATCTGTCTTGGAAAAAGTACAGTTAGAGTGCTCCTTAGAGACAGAGGTGGTGAGACTTCTTACATTCTTTGGACACGTTGTCAGGAGACACCAGGGTCTTTTTTTTTTTTTTTT